TCTATCAAATCTCTAGCCTTTCGAACTGAGTCATGTGAAGAATGAATTTTCTGGAGTGGGATTAACTGTATGTCACTATGAAAATGGTTCGCGAGAGAGAAAGTGTTCAGAAACAGTAGTGGGTATGGATTTAATGTTAGTTTTGTCAACTGCATGTCTGTGTTCGTTGAATCGGTCCTTCAGGCTTCGCTTAGTTTCACCCGTATATTGCAAATTACAACGGTAACACAGTTGAACAATGTAGATCACTTTTGTAGTGTTACAAGTTATGTGTGAAGTAATGGAGCGTGTTTCACCTGTAGCGTAAAAAGTATAACTTGTAAGGCGCAGCCTCGTTCCCAGGGTCCTCTCTCTTTCCGTCGTCCGCCATTACGATTCGATTACGAAGTTCATTGAGGGGAGAAAAAACTGAAAAACTCATCAGCTAGAACTGCTAAAAGACTGTTTAAACTTGATATGTTTTCCTACTTTCACAGCGCTCACTGGAAAAGAAACGTGAGTAAAGAACCGTTTCATTTTATTTTAGAAACGACTTACGACGACTCATCCAGTATTTTGTGTATCATCGATGTATTAGATAGGTGTGCTTCAATTTTCCTTGTTTCCGCTGTTTTATTAGACGCTTGCTCGTTATCAAACATAGCCATACACAAAAATACAAAGCAAAAAAATTTAAGCACAAAGTATACCGCAGACCTTTTTTCCTGTATTTAACTGTAGATTGTAGAAAACCTGTAGATTCGAAACCTTCCAATCGCTAAACCATGTAAATCTGAAGTGTTTGAAAAAAGCCCCTGAGACCAGAATATTTTTTTAGATTTTCTGATTCAGCGCTACATTTGGAGGCTAAATCGTCAGACCTTGAGTTGACTGCCCAAACCGTGAGTCTCACTGTCGAACCGGGAGGGTTGGAAGGTCTGATATTGTATTCAAAGGAAGGATCTGGATGTAACTAATTTGAACTCCACCATTTTTAATTATTAACTCTGTGTACATTCAACTTCGAATCTTTTACTAATAAACTTTAAGTAACTCGTGCTAAATATATCATCATCGGCCTCGTTATAAGAGCCTGTGAAGTGTTCCTTTGCCTTCAACTCACTGTTTTCCCAAACTCGGTGGCTTTTTTTGGTTTTCCTCGTTTTGTACGATTGGTCAGTATCACAGGTTCTTGTATACAGAGGTTGGATTTCTCAGTAACTCAACAACAATAACTTAACAAACATGAACTGTAACAGCACTTAGACCCCGGGGGAAGGGGGCACTTCCATATAACACTGATGGGGCAAGCTCAATGGTAATTATGACATAGTACAAACCTGGATTTTCAACCTCTAACAGGCACAAGCATTAACTTTGTTCTTACACTGCCATCCTTTATAAAGACTAGAAAGAAATCTAACTGCTAAAGTTTGCTTGAAGTGTAAGTATTTTTATAAGTTAGTAACAACAACAACAACAACAAGCAAGCAGGCAAGAATGGATCGCTAATAGGTCATGAATCAGCAAGGGGATTTAGCCCTCTCAATAATAAAATACAAAGGCTTGTAATATGGAAATTTCACAAGGTATATCTGTGTTTCACCTTAAGTTTGAAGCCTTACCAAATTGCAATATGAACAATGAAGTTTTAATGCTTAACATGTGTTGCTCATCATGTAATTTTTTAAAAAAGAAAAAAAACAAAAATTTGTCCATCCTCCTGCTTGTTCTCTGCATTAGTGATATTACAGACAGTGCTAATGCCTTAAATCTTTCAAGTTTGAAAAAGGGGAAAAAAGCAGCAAGTGAACGAGAACGAGATTCGTTTTAAAGGTTACCAATATAAAATGAAAATACATTGCCAATGGGCCACAATTGACAAAGAAATAATTATTCTACAAACGTTTCAGTTCTCGTTTTTTTTTCTGTGAAATGGTTCAAGAATCAGAAGAAATGTTAGTCACTAAAAGATATAAAAAAGGCGGTGTGATGCTGGCATCACTTTTAATGCTTTTTCTTACTAAAGCCCCACCTTAAAGGTCCACTTCAAAGATGACAAGAAAGAATGTTTGGGGTGACATGTTTCATACTTTTTAAGAAAAATATAATTGGATTGTTCATACATTGTGATGGATATTAGATGTTATAGTGGTGAAGTAAATGTTGTTCTCTACTTCTCAAAAATATTTTCTGAAATGTTGATGGTACCATTGGTTTGTAAGTTCTTCTAAGTGTATAAAGTATACATAATGAAGGTACAATGTAATCTCATCACTGATTTACCATGTATGAACAGTCCATGTTACATTTAAAAATGGGCATGCATGTTAAGTAATTATCTACTGCAGTTGCAACAGTTATTATAGTACTCCACCCCCACCTCCTACCCGTCAACCTCTCTTTTTACAAAGTAAAATGAATGTCACGTTTGCTTTCTAACCTAGTAGGAGCAGATACGAAAGGGGGGAAAGAAAGGGTTATAATTTTTGGTTACCACTGTCCAATCCCCAGAATTGAAACTACCTGTAGCACCAGAACCAAACCTTAAAATCAATTTTTAGGAATTTATGGCAAAAATACGTCCAGCTCTAGAACTAGCTGAAGCTTATGTTGCTCACTCAGAGCATTCTGCACCCCTCCTATATCTATCATAGAGGGTTTGAAGTAGGGGTGTCTGTTCAATACACATGCCTTCCTGGCATGGTAATAGTGAGCCCTCTCTTTACTTGCAGTGTACTTAATGGGCTCAAAGGGATTACCAGTGGGGTATTGATACCTCTCCATATGCTGAAGTACCAAGTTCTGTGGCTGACCAGATCTCTTGTCAATTGGCCCACCACAACCAGCACACTTCCTAATGTTGCCATGTTGGAACTGCAAAATAAATGGGTTGCTATTGTGATATGGTAGCACGTTGTTTGGGGTATCAAGATGTTGTGGGACTCTGTTGTATCCCTGGAAAGGAACTGACTGCCTGGCTGTTGCTGGTTGCATGGTGATGGCTGCAGACTGCATCCATGTACCTTGAGAGGGCAATGCTGGCACTGGCTGCCTGACTCTTGCTGGTTGAGATGCTGCCATATGCATGGCTGAAAGTGCTTGGATGCATCCATCAGAGCGGATAGTTGTCATGGGCATGGCTGACACCATTGATTGTACTGGCGCTGGTTGGATGGCGATGGTTGCAGACTGCATACATGAACCTGTTAGTGTAGAGGGCAATGGGGGCATTGACTGACTGGGTGTTGCTGGTTGAGATACTGCTGTATGCATTGCTGAAACGGCTTGGATGCTTCGATCAGACTGAACTCCTGTAGTTGTCATGGGCATTGCTGACACCATAGATTGTACAGATGCGGCCTGCATCATTTCTGATGTTGGTTGTGCTGGAGAACAACTTGTGCTTGCAGTAACAGTGTGGGAACTGGAGCATGGAACTTGGCAGCGATCAACGAAGTCCGTGGGTATTGCCTTCTGGCCATGCTTTGACTTTTGTTTCCTCGGAGCTCTCTCCCCCTTTTTTCCCCTTCCATTGGGCATACCTTGGTTAGCAGCTTGTGAGAAATTAGCTTTGTCCCTGTTTTTCTTGTACCATGCTAAAAATTTCCAAAGTATGGCCTTTCTTTCAGCAACAGCCACCGTGTGAGAGCAAATTGAAAGTCGATCATATTGTGGGCAGCCACGGCATCTTACCTCTCCACTTGCAAGTGGGGTGACTACATGTGGCTTGGCTGGATCTTGAGCACTTGCAACTGCAAACCCTGATTGGTAACCGGGACAAGCCACAATAGAGGCATCAGTAGAGCTTAAGAGGTCCTCTGCTTTGCTCCAGATATGTTGCAGCTCCTCATATGGCACAGCACTGCTAATTCCACTTTCCCTGGCTGATACTGAAATGCCTTGACTCTCAACAGCTGCTGGAAGGACACTGTAGTGGCCTTGTTGACGACATGCGTCACTTAAACTGGCCTGTTAAAATGACAGTAAAAATAGAACAAATAAACGACAAGAAGCACCAACGGCCGACAGAACACGTTGGCTACTTTGATGATGGAAATCGGAAGAAGAAGCAACAAGTTTGAATAACGTTGTAAACAAAAAATGTACCATAAGATCTGAATGAAAACGTAGTTATGAGGTGTTCTCATAAAGGCCCAATGGTTTCACGTCATATGTCAGTCATGTGAACGCTATATTTCGGTGAATTTTTCACAAGTTTCTTTATAGCTTTACGCAGAATTTGTTTGCGTGCAAAAGTATGTAATTTAGTTTCATTTGTTCATTGTTGGTAGGAATTAACCGAATTGATTGTGTGACTGACAAATGGGAAGTTGCAAAAAGCTACATTTTCTTGAATGAAAAACGCACTCTCTTGTCCTCAATTAAGTCCCCAGAACGCTGAAAATCTTATTTAGGGCTTTGAAATTTCAAAATTTTCTGAGGAAAAAATTTATCTTCAAATGTTTTTTTTTTTATCTCGTGATCTCTTTGACTTTGGGTTAGGGGTCCAGGGTTCGCACAGTCTTGAAAAGTCCTTGAATTTTCTTCAACCTTGAATGTAGTGGCCTCGAAAGTGTTTTTTGATGCTTTTTGGTTGTCCAAGACAGAATATAAATCATAGCTCAGAGAATGTAAAGGTTATTTACACAGAGTGCTTAATATTTTATGCAATAATTAACTATCAATTTAAAAGAAGTGAACTGAAAAGTGTAGAGAAGCTGGTGAAGCAAACTGTTCAAGCCTTAAAGCCTTATTACAATAGACTGGAAATGTGCATTTTGTACAATCTGTGTAATTATATTCCTAGTGTTAGTGGTCCTTGAAAATCTAATATGGTTCTTGAAAAGTCCTTGAAAGGTGGTTGCAATTTTTTGTATGAAATAACCCTGGGGTCTTCTGGGTAGCATTACAATTTAACTTCATATGCACACCCAGGACAACATTATGGATATGGACAATACCTATACGCAGGCATGAATAAGAACAGTATCTGTATAAGTATGAAAATGGAATGTAGTTACCTTGTTAAAACGTTTAACAGCAGCCAAACGTTGTTCCTTAGACATACTTTTAAATACTGCTGTTTCTACTTCAAGGTGTTTGAATTCTGGGATTATCTTGTAAGGGCCTACCCCAAAGATAGCATCTTCTACATCCATCTGACGCTGTGCCACCAGTGCTCTCATCTCTCTGGTAGCCTCGCTCATGCTGAGCTGTCTTTTGCCCGAGGACTCCTTACACCACTTTTGATACACCTTGTTCATAGACTCATTGCCATTGTTATAGTAGAAATCAGGTGGTGATCCAAGTTGACATTGTTCTCTCAAAGGACGCAACATGCTGTCTTTAATGACCTTCACCGAATTGCGCCTAAACCATTCTCCAAACTCCAAACCCATAGGATCGGCCTCAGCCCATTTATGCTGGAGGTGACCGAGTTTCTCATCAAAGTCAACAGTATTGCTTGCATCAGCAAGTCCAAAATACTTCGTACTGCCCTCTTGTACTCCAAAGATGTCTACAAGTATTTCCCTTCTCATCTTCGCTGGGATACCAATGCGCACCATTGCTGACTCTATGTTGTCTTCTAAATGCTTCTTGCATCTCATCTGCATTGCAAATACGAATTGATCAGAGAATGCTTTTGCTACATTGTACTCTCCATCTGTTCCAAACGACATCAACCCTGACAGGTTTGGATTTAAGTTCACCATAGTAGATGTGAGAAGCTTGTATGAGGCCTCCAGTTTTCTCATGTGGAACAGGATAGGACCAATCATAACTGGATGCTTTCCTGTCACCTTGTCAACAACCATGAGATGCCTGTAGGTAGTTAGGGTGTAGCAAAACTTGCCAACGTTAAATGATGGGTCCACCCCTAAAACAGTGAACTGATGGGGATTACAGCAGAACCGTTCTGTGTCTACAAGTTGTTGTTGTGTGGCACACACAACCTCTGGTTCTGGAGCACAACGAACCTCTCTGACAAATGCGGTGTTCAAGTCACCTTGCTGCTCTTTACATTGGAGCAGAACAGCAAATAGAGGATCACTGTGGTCTTGACAATCACTGCAATTACTCTCCTTGAACTGATGAGATTGATTACCAGACATTTTCCGGAAGTTTTTGGCTTGCATTGGGTCCCTTGGCGCAGCTGCTATGGATGGCAAATCATAGGTTCTTCCAATAGTTGCTTTGGTTTGGTTGTACGCACGTTTTGGCTGCATTGTTGTCGCTGCTACCCGCAGTTTGTCTTTTGTGCTTTGACGTGTTCTTCGAAAAGGCATCCTGTTTTTCTTGGCATTTCCGTGAGGCGCAGGTTTCACTTCATGTTTGTCACCATCAAACCAGTACTGCACCATGACATGTTTAAATATCTGTCCATGAACATCTATATGAATCAAAACATTTTTGTTTCAGTACTGTTCCATCGGATGCTGTCTTACAAGTAGAACTGATACTGAATGGTAACATATTATTTTAGAAAGAAACAAATGAAAAAAAAAAAAAACAAAACAAAATTATACTTTAAACACATCTCCTAAAAATTTAATATAAAATATGACTAGACCAATACTAAATTTATACTTTGTTCTGAGCTGAGGCCTGGGACATAAAACGTTAAGAAACAACTCAAGGTTCAGGTATAAATACATATATCCTTAGAGACCCATCCACCTAGCATATAACCTTATACATGGAGCACAATACCTCTAATGATGTCAGTGAATGAATTTAGGTTTGTTGGCTATTAATAGAACATGGAAAGCATAGTACCTAAAATACAATCAATTCGTTTTTTGAAATCTGGGGAGCTCTTATTGTAGTAGTACTTTCTCTTCAGCACGATATGTCCACTCTTTTTCCTCTCATAATCTTCTTTTGTAGTTCTTAAGATGGAGCTCCTATGAACAAACAAACAGTTACATGTAGACTACAGTGCACATGTAATATAGTGGTTTCCTGTCAGTACATTTGCTGTGCCTGTCATTCACCTTGTGGGTCTTGTGACCTTTTCAGCCAACCACTGGCTGATATGGGACACGAACGATTTCCAGAGGACATGTATCATTAAAGTATATGGTTAAGTCTAAGAAATTCCCAGCAAATTGAAAGAAATTGAAAGAGTTTAGGGTATAATATTAATTGCAAAACCTTTCCCTTGGTTAGAATATTAGTCCATATAACCCATGCTTGGGTTACTCCAAACATATCCTTTTCTTCTTTATTCACCCAATTCTACATCTCATTGGAAAGGGCAGTGTTAACAGTTCACATTGCCAGATACATATATTCACTCACCCATAGACACGAAAAAAGTCAGAGGCTACTTTATTAGCCCTCCAAACTCCAAGGTCATCAGATTTCAGATCTTCCTCATTTTCCAATGATGTATTATCAACCAGAAATACTACATCATCTTGAATGTTGGTTGGCACTGTAGAACAGATAACATCATTTTTGTCTGTAAAGAGAAGGTGCTCTGCAATAGCCATAGCTGTTAAGGTGTTCCCTTTCCATCCACTTTTAAAAATAGGCAGGGCTTCATTTCCATCATAATACTCTATTTCCTCATCACTGTCTTCAGATAATGAAGAAGTACTATCTGTATTAACATGTTTTGTGTCCTCTGAAGTCATGCTTATTGACTGGATAGCTAGACTTTCTTCATCACTGGATGAGCAACACAGATCAATAACATCACACTCTTGTGTCAGAGATATGCTTTTTACGCTATAAGATAAAAGAATGAAAGAGACACGTAAGTGAAGGACAATCTACATTGGGATGGAAAATGCTTGATTTTCATTCTTTTGTTAAACTGTTTTGCCTAAGCTAGGGGGAAATCTCCACCCCACCTCAACCCCTCTTATTATTAAGTAATTTGAAATTAAAAAAATGGGGTGATTGTTTACCCTCAAGGTCTGTATAGTGTTTTGCAGTAATTTACTGTGCAATCATTAAGTGACAGATTTTTTACTAAGAATAAAATCCTTTTCTGGATACACAAACATACGCTAAATAATTGAATAAAAATAGAGATCACCTTTCAGTTGTTTATTGTAGGTAATACTAAATGTCTGACAAAACTATACCCTCACGTTCCTAACTGAATAAAAATAAAGTTGAACTATACATTGTAGAAACAAAAAAAATCCTCAATGATCTCCAAAACATTCTGCCACTCACCTTAAATTTAATTCTTGAGTTCTTTCTTTTTTTGGTTGTCTTTCAAGGCTTGTTGAGGGCTTCTACTCCAAACAAAAGAGCATGTTACTAATAATTATAGTAAAATGATTTTTGAGCACATAGGGTGTTTGTTATTATGATTTGCATACTATTTTAAGAAATGCACTGCACCAGACATGACAATAATAGTAATCATCATCATATGATGCTAATAAATGATTAAAACAATTTATAACTGTCAGTTCATTTACTGGTAGTGGCCAACAAGGAAGTCACCTAAATAAGTCACATAAAAATAATAAGTAGTGAAAAGTAAGAAAGGCCAAGATTGTACTAAACATTTTGGAATTATTCTTAAAGCTGCAAACAGTTTCAGTTGTTTCTGATGTCTAATTAAAGGAACCTCAGTCAATTACCTTTAATAAAAAATGAGAAGAAAAAATGGCCTCACCCGTACCAAAATTAACGCTCTAGCCAGAAGGTAAATTAGGCCATAATTTTCAGCCAAACCCGGACGGAAATAAACCAAAATAGGGCCTTAAAAAGTTCAACCAAAGATGAACCAAAACGAGCCTCACTGAAACGTAAATATTTGAGCCACAAAATAAACCAAAATAGAACCCAAATCCTAACTACACTACAGTGATGCAAAAACTGGGCCAAAATTGGGCCCAAATTATGCTGTCATTTTGGCTGAACGGTAACACGATAATGACCGCTGTCTGCACGCTGCACATTTCTGTAATCCGGTTCGAGCTAAATTAGGCCACATTTGGGCCAAAATTACGCTGTAATTGAGGCTGAGATCCAACCATTTTTTGGTCAAGATTTCACTCAACAGTAACTCGACACCGGCAAACTCGAGATTGCGTGCCAAATGTACATTTTCAAGGTAGATAAATAGATAAGCAAGCTAAAGTTAGTATTAAATAATTGACAAACGTTTGTATGAAAATCGCTACAAATGAAACATCAACTGGATTTTTAATGCAGTATAGCAAATTTAAATACATTGCTACCAGAATTTTTCTACAAAAAAATATTACAGCAAAGAACGAAACCGGGTCACGCGTCGTTTTGAATGTATAAATCACGAATTCACATCACGTACAAAGTCCACTTGCTACAGACTGTTCGTGCATTTCTTCAAAAATTACAAAGAGATTTTCTGAATATTATTCCTTCACATAGATGAGCACCAGCACTGCGACGATCACAAATTCCACGCATCAATACCTTTTACTCTCACAAGCTCGATAACTTCTTTGACACGCGACCCGTACTAATACCAAAAACAAAGTGATACTATTTTATACGGAGCTATTTCCTCTCAGGATTTCTGTTATTTAGTTCTTCCTGTGTTGCCCACAACCAGCAAATACAGCCGTGTGCTTTAGGAAATTGTTCCAGAACAATATTTAACTGGTTTGTTAGGCAGGTTTTAAGCCCTATATCATAGAGATAAACATGTTTCCAAGAAGACTTCTGCGTTTTCAAACAGTCATGACCTGTTTACTGGCCGCTAAAAGAAAGGGCTACGAACGTTTAACATGATGCACGATCTATGAAGAAAAAACACTAACCTTAAATACAACTTAAAACACACAAGCTTATCTTTATCGGCAGTTTTAAAAATTATACTGACAAACCTTTGTCCTGCACATTTTCACTTCAGCTTCTTGCCTCGCTTCAAACGGTCCTAGTTGCAAGGCACAGCGACTTTTGGGACTTTTTGGGCACAATGCCGAGACTTTTGTCCGAACCAAAATAGATGCAGTAATGAAAACTAATTTTCAAACTTACAAATGTTAAGTTTCAATGTAACTTAGATCGGGAAAACGTTTACAGGAGAAGACACAAAGGTTTTTCTCTTACGATGAACCCCAAATGCCCGCCAAAATAAACTAACCAATCATCATGTGTCTCTAAGGCCACGTGAACATATCGAGACAGGGTTTTTGAGAAATCAAGAAACGCGATCACGCAAAAACAACGCATGGAAAGTTTCAAGTGGACCTGTCAGGTTTACTACGGTTAATAAGTAACGTAAAGACAATGTCACGAAAATTTTTCCATAGTAAAACCCTTTTTACTGTAGTAATTGTAGAGGCTTTTTAATATGGTACCACCACGATTCAAATACATCATATATAGCTATTTAAATCCAGCTTTAACTGGTCGGAAGTCTTCAGGGACAAAACATTCATTTATTGTATTTGGTTTCCTGCATGCACGGCGTGGATTTATCTATCGTCAGGTGCGTCAATTATGTTTGCAAATTTAATTGCAAATAAAATAGAAAGAGATTAGTCTTACTTGCAAGGTGAGGGAATCAACTTTGTAGGTACGTATTGTATCTGTAAATGTTTAGTTCAGTTGAGTTAAAAAACTAACCTGATATTTCTCGTTTTTGTTTGCAAAAATCTCTTGCGTTAGGTCTATTTAATTAAAGTTTTGCTAATATTTAATGTCTCCCTTACACCTTTTTCTCGTGGCTCCACATCGACTTCACTGTAATTCGCTGGTTCGACCGAACTGATCAACACCAAAATTACAGCCTCAGTCGGCTTCCAACATGAGCGACCTAATCTACGACTAAAAAAATTTTGCCTGCTTTAAGGTCGTAGAGCGTTCAAAATGAGAGCCTAAATAACAGCCCAAAGCGATTTTGGTTCACATTTGGGGTTTAACTGTCGACCAAATTTACAACCTAAAATATTTTGCCTGAATTTGGTCGCTTTTTGTTCATGGTGTTGGAATTAGAAACAAAAAAGGAAACAAAATTTTTTGGGCTCAAGCTGTTAGGTTCAGTTTTGGTTGATCTTTTGCTCTCTGTTTCCATTTAAGGCCTTATTAAGGCCCTATTGTGGCTCAGTCAGGCCATAAGATTTCGTACGGGCAGATCTATAATTACTCCATAAGGTTACCGGCATGACATACATGTATATTGAACATTAAACCTGTATAAGTGTAGCTGGAACAGGCCAGTACCTCTGATTTAATATAAATTGATGAAAGTTTTATTCAAAGTAAAGCAGAAAATAATGAAAACATGTCGGAAACTACCTGTATTTGTAAACCATATACACATACAGTCTTTAAATCCTTCGTACAGTATTCTAATATGCAAAACAGTATCAAAACTCGCAGTAATGCCTCCTGCTTGGGTTCC